GCGGTTCACGGAACCAATTCTTGAGTTTTAATTGCAATACGCCGGGCTGACTGTCTCAGTTCAGGCATCGTTTCAGAATTGATGAAGACCTTGGCAGTTCTCCCGGTTCCCTGGCCATAGTTTGGGAAGATTTCTAGGATATCAAGTACGGTTAGTGGATTGCTAACAGATTCCAGTATTTCCCAGTGAGGCTTTTGGTTTTGCTTTGTCCATTTAAATTCATGTTTGCTGATTTTGCTGTGGCTTTTGACTTGCATTTTTCCTTTATTTTGTAACCATTTTTCTTCAATAAAAAAGGATTGTTTTTCACAGTCAAGTGTGGTGGATAGTTATCTTAGGGCCTCGTTTCCTGCTCTGGATTGCAACAGTAAGGTCACTACCTCTGAGGATGCTTGCCATAGATGCAGGCGAAACGTCAGAAGAGAATGCCTCTAGACCAATATTTATAATATTATTATATTATATTATATTATATATTATATTATATTATATTATATTATATATAATTATATTATTATATTATATTATTATATTATATTATTATATATTATATTATATATTATTATATTATATTATTATATTATTGTATATTATATTATTATTATATATTATATTATTGTATATTATATTATTATTATATATTATATTGTAATATATTATATATATAATATTATATTATAATATACAATTATAATATAATATAATAATATAGTAATATAATATATAATATAGTTATATAATATAATATACAATATAATGCACCAGACAAACGAAAATAATTACGAAATAATCACGAAATAATCACGAAATAATCACGAAATAATTACGAAATAATTACGAAATATTTACGAAATAATTACGAAAATTGGGAAAAATTGTTTCGATTCTTAATTATTCCTCACACTATTCCTGCATGGCTCGATATTGGATCGTAAGCTAATTTAAATACGAATCAATAACGAATAACGAAATTAACGAACTGGATCGCCCAAGCCTAGTAAACAGGGATAAGTGAAACCACATATATGGGGATATGGGGTCGTACTGTAGATTCTTGCCCGTGTACTTTGGGAATATGCAGAGAGAGTTTCTGTGGGTCACTAGAGCCACAGCCGAGAATCTCGTAAACGCTCCCATTATTGCAAACTGCGTTGTAATGCAGCGAGAAATCCTGCAGGGGTCACTAGTGTCACAGTAGTGAATATCCTATATATAAGATCAATTGTAATGCAGAGAGAAATCAGGAGAGAATGCTTCTAGAACATGGCCATATAGCCCATAAAACCTACAATAACCCAGTGATTCCAGCCATGAAAGCTTTTGACAACAACAACAACAACAATAATACCTTCCCAGTAAGCTTGGGCAAATGCAAACTTGGGCCAAAACCTCTCTGTTCATTTCCGTTTAAGAATGTTGGAGTCACTGCAATGGCAGGCTTTCTTCTCTCTCTTGCCTTTTGGCTTCCAGATGCCTTTGCTCAGCAGCCAGTACCTCCAAGGTTATCGGGAACTCGCTCTGGCCCATTTGGTCCTTAGCTTCATCACAATGGGCTACGTTTGGCAAGAAGGCGAAAAAGGGGTTGCCAAGGTAAGGACTGTTAGAACTCAAAAACCACTGGGTGAATTGACACCAAATTTGGACACAATACACCAATCAGGCCAACAAGTGACCATCACTCATAAAAATACTGGAAAACACAGCGGAAGAGACTTAAAAAGCCAAAAAACAAAAATACATTGCAATGGATGTACAAAACTTTACAAGATGGCTTTGGACCCTTGCCCATCTTGGCTAATTAAATCGGCCAGGGATGGGTTGATTGATTGGTTTGTGTTGATCATTAATGCATCATTGGAGCAGGGGTTTTTCCATCTCACCTGAAACAAGCTGTGGTTTGTCCACTCCTCAAAAAGGTTTCCCTTGACTCCACGGTGCTGAACAACTTCAGACCAATCTCCAACCTCCCTTTTCTGGGCAAGGTGCTGGAGCGGGTGGTCGCCTCCCAGCTCCAGGGCTTACCTAGATCAGTCACAGTCTGGCTTCAGGCCTGGCCACGGCACTGAGACAGCCTTGGTCACCTTGGTAGATGACCTCCGCAGGGAGCTGGACAGGGGGAGTGTGACTCTTCTGGTTCTCTTGGACATCTCAGCGGCTTTCGATACCATCGATCATGGTATCCTTCTGGGTCAACTCTCTGGGATGGGTCTCGGGGGCACGGTTCTGTCGTGGCTCCGGTCCTTTCTGGAGGGTCGATCCCAGATGGTGAAGCTGGGAGACGCCTGCTCGGACCCCTGGCCTTTGACCTGTGGGGTCCCGCAAGGCTCTATTCTGTCTCCCATGCTTTTTAACATCTACATGAAACCGCTGGGAGAGGTCATCCGGAGTTTTGGAGTTGGGTGCCACCTCTATGCAGATGACACACAACTCTACTACTCATTTCCACCTAATTCCAAGGAGGCCTCTCGGGTGCTGGACGAGTGCCTGGCCGCTGTGTCTGTCTGGATGAGGAAGAACAAGCTGAAGATCAATCCCGACAAGACAGAGGTCCTCCTGGTCGATCGTAAACCGGATCGGGGTATAGGGTGGCAACCTGTGTTGGACGGGGTTACACTCCCCCTGAAGCCACAGGTCCGCAGTTTGGGAGTCCTCTTGGATTCATCGCTTACGCTTGAGGCTCAGGCGTCGGCGGTGTCCGGGAGGGCTTTTGCACAATTGAGACTCGTGCGCCAACTGCACCGTACCTCGCGAAGGCTGATCTGGCCGGGGTGGTCCATGCCTTAGTCACCTCTAGATTGGATTACTGTAATGCGCTCTACGTGGGGCTGCCCTTGAAAACGGCTCAGAAATTCCAACTGGTCCAATGGGCGGCAGGCCAGGTTGTTAACTGGTGCTCCTTACAGAGAGAGGTCAACCCTCCTGTTTAAGGAGCTCCATTGGCTGTTCATTTTCTGGTCCCAATTCAAGGTGCAGGTGCTCACCTACAAAGCACTAAACGGTTTGGGACCCGCCTACCTGCGTGACCACATCTCTGTATATGAACCCACATGATCCCTCCGTTCATCTGGAGAGGCCCTGCTCACGATCCCACCTGCGTCGCAAGCGCGTTTGGTGGGGACGAGGGACAGGGCCTTCTCTGTGGTGGCCCCCCGACTCTGGAACTCTCTCCCCAAGGACATCAGACAAGCCCCAACGTTGGCAGTCTTTAGGAAGAGCCTGAAGACCTGGCTGTTCCAGTGTGCCTTTCCAGAATAGGAAACTTCTAGCATCATGTCCCAAATGCACTTTGTTAGAGATTTAGGATTGTCTGCACATTGCACCTACCTCCAAAAACCCCTACATATCACCTGTCAAGTCCAGCACTATAAACAAAGTTAATAAATAAATAAATAAATAAATAAGCCCCATATATACACAAACACATCTACAGTAGAGTCTTGCTTATCCAACCTTCACTGATCCAATGTTCTGTACGATCCAACGCAGTCTGCCTACTGCCCAGATCCAAAGCTGTTTCAATACATTGCGATGTTTTGGTGCTAAATTCGTAAACACGGTATTCGTAAACACGTTTGTGGGATTAACAGAACTCAAAAGCCACTGGACAAATTGGTACCAAATTTGGACACAAGATACCTAACAACCCAATGTATGTCCTTCATTCAAAAAAATTGATTTTGTCATTTGGGAGTTGTAGTTGCTGGGATTTATAGTTCACCTACAATCAAAGAGCATTCTGAACCCCACCAACGATGGAATTGAACCAAACTTGGCACACAGTTCTCCCATGACCAACAGAAAATACTGGAAGGGTTTGGTGGGCAGTGTCCTTTGGATTTGGAGTTGTAGCTCACCTACATCCAGAGATCATTGTGGACTCAAACAATGATGGATCTGGACCAAACTTGACATGTATACATATGCCCAAATGTGAATACTGGTGGAGTTTGTGGAAAATAGAATCTTGACATTTGGGAGTTGTAGTTGCTGGGATTTATAGTTCACCTACAATCACAGAGCATTCTGAACCCCACCAACGATAGAATTGGGCCAGACCTCCCACACAGAACCCCCCATGTGGGCCACAGCAACACGTGGCAGGGGATGGCTAGTTACTACATAACGTCACCGTGTATTGAACTGCATTTTCTGTTGATTTGTTGTAAAACATATTTTGGTGCTTAATTTGTAAAATCATAACATAATTTGACGTTTAATCAGCTTTTCCGGCCCAGCTTATCTATCCGAACGCATCTCGCTCTATGAATTTAAGATCGCCTGGGGAGGCCCTGCTCTCGATCCCGCCTACCTCACAGGCACATCTGGCGGGGATAAGAGACAGGGCCTTCTCAGTGGTGGCCCCTCGGCTGTGGAATTCCCTTCCCAGGGATATTAGATCGGCCCCCTCCCTCCTGACCTTTCAGAAAAGAGTGAAAACTTGGCTCTTTGAGCAAGCGTTTGGAGCTTCAGCATTACCAGATAAACACAAAATTGTAATACGAACACGGAATGGCCAAGACGATGTAAACAGATGAGGAATTGGTCTGGAAGTTTTTATGGATAGTTTTTATGGATTTTATATGTATTTATGATGTGATTTAATTGCTTTTAACTGATATATGTATATATATATGGCATCTAATTGGTGCCGGTCAGTACGCAGCCCTGAGTCACCTTTGGGCTGAAATGGGCAGGATAGAAATGATGTAAAGAAATAAATAAATTTGCCTTAATCCCTCCTTATTATCCAACATTTTTGCTTATGCAACGTTCTGCTGGTGGCTTATGTTGGATAAGTGAGACTCTACACAATTATATATATATATACACACATATACACATATATACACACACAAAACACATATACACAGACTGGGCCACAGCAACGCATGGCAGGGGATGGCTAGTAAATAGTAAATACCATATTTTCTTGACTCGTTTGCCCTATTTGGAAGAGCCCAAAGGCTAATACATGTATATTTTCATTTGTGTGTTTCCAGATCTTGCCCCGCAAACTCGCCATCCCTTTCTGGGAAATCTCTCAGACGTTAGGAGTGCCTCCCATCCTGCTTCATATGGATTTTGTTTTAGTAAACTGGAAGAAAAAGGATCCTTATGGGTAAATATATGACAAACGGCACAGATATCTCATACACAAGGCAGGGATCAAATCCAAGCTGGACCTTTCTAACAGGAAACATTAAAATGGTTGATCCTATTTGTCTCTGGTTCAACTAATAGAGTTGATACATATCTATTTTATTTTATTTACAGTATTTATATTCTGCCTTTCTCACCCTGAAGGGGACTCAGAGTGGATCACAGAACACATATACGGCAAACATTCAATGCCATTATACACTGACAAGGCAGGCAACTGTACATAGATAGAGGTATTGTGCTGGTAAGGCTGTACCAGGAGCTCCAACTTTCTTTTCTTTCTTTGAGTATTTGCATGTATTCCAAAGTTCCATGCATTTTGCAATAAGGTGGCTTCCCTTGCTTTGCCGCCACCTGCCTATCATCGTTGTGTTTTTTAGTTCCGCCCCTTTCCCCAGGGTTCAGAAAGGAAAGGGAGCCATTTTGGCTCAGTCTTACAGTTGAAAGCTTAGCTACAGGACGTGAATCAGCTCCACCTGTAGAGAAGCTTCATTTCTTACGAAATTCCGGGGGGAAACAGTTCCAAAGGACTCCAGCTGGAGAATCTACAAAGCCTTGACTGGTAGATCTACTCAGGACCCAAGAAGCAGTTTGGAGCCGGGAGTAGAGCCCACACCAGCAAAGTTTAGAAAGTAGATTGCCCAAGGAGGGGTTAAAAAGGGTTTTCCTCTTAAAGAAAAGAAACAGTTCACGAAGCCAGTTGCCTGTCCCTTGTGGACAAGATTAAGAAAGCCACCAGTTGATTCAAAGCCTTGAAGCATTTGTTTGACCTGTTGAAAATCTGAGAAGTATTGTGCCCAGCGGGAAGCCGGGGTGCCTCGAGTGAGAGGCCCTAAGGATTTTCCTATACAGAGTCTTTAGAAGCTTGAAAGGTTTAACAAAATCCTTTATTATTGCTTAAGTCTTCAACAAACCATCAAATACTTCTTAGATCTTCAACAGATCAAACAAATGCTTCAAGGCTTTGCATCAACGGGTGGCTTTCTTAATCTTGTCCACAAGGGACAGGCAACTGGCTTCGTGAACTGTTTCTTTTCTTTAAGAGGAAAACCCTTTTTAACCCCTCCTTGGGCAATCTACTTTCTAAACTTTGCTGGTGTGGGCTCTACTCCCGGCTCCAAACTGCTTCTTGGGTCCCGAGTAGACCTACCAGTCAAGGCCTTGTAGATTCTCCAGCTGGAGTCCTTTGGAACTGTTTTTCTCAGGATGCTGTGAGAAACAAAGCTTCTCTACAGGTGGAGCTAATCCACGTCCTGTAGCTAAGCTTTCCAATGCAAGACTGGCCTAAAATGGCTCCCTCTCCTCCCAGAGCCCCGGGGAAAGGGGCGGAACCAAAACTTAACAATGATTGATGGCTCATAGGCCCTATGATTGCAAACCAAGGGAAGCCACCTTATTGCAAAATGCATGGAATCTTGGAATGCATATTTATTTATTTATTTATTTATTTATTTGTTTATTTATTTATTTATTTATTTGTCGTGTCAGGGCAGCCAGTCAAATATATTACATTTCTAACAGAACAAAGCAAACAAACAGAGAAAATACAAAATGTGTGAGTTTGGTAGTTGATTAAATGTCCTTTGACCAGTATCTGGCCTCTTGGAGTGCCTCTGGTGTTGCCGCAAGAAGGTCCTCCTTGGGCATGTGGCAGGGCTCAGGTTGCATTGCAGCAGGTGGTCAGTGGTTTGCTCTTCTCCACACTCGCATGTCGTGGATTCCACTTTGTGGCCCCATTTCTGAAGGTTGGCTCTGCATCTCGTGGTGCCAGAGCGCAGTCTGTTCAGTGCCTTCCAAGTCGCCCAGTCCTCTGTGTGCCCAGGGGGGAGTCTCTCATTTGGTATCAGCCAATGGTTGAGGTTCTGGGTTTGAGCCTGCCACTTTTGGACTCTCGCTTGCTGAGGTGTTCCAGCGAGTGTCTCTGTAGATCTTAGAAAACTATGTCTGGATTTAAGTCATTGACGTGCTGGCTGATACCCAAACAGGGGATGAGCTGGAGATGTCTCTGCCTTGGTCCTTTCACTATTGGCTGCTACTTCCCGGCGGATGTCAGGTGGTGCGATACCGGCTAAGCAGTGTAATTTCTCCAGTGGTGTAGGGCGCAGACACCCCGTGATAATGCGGCATGTCTCATTAAGCGCCACATCCACTGTTTTAGTGTAGTGAGATGTGTTCCACACTGGGCATGCATACTCAACAGCAGAGTAGCACTAGCGCAAGGGCAGATGTCTTCACTGTGTCTGGTTGTGATCCCCAGGTTGTGCCAGTCAGCTTTCGTATGATATTATTTCTAGCACCCACTTTTTGCTTGATGTTCAGGCAGTGCTTCTTGTAGGTCAGAGCACGGTCCAGAGTGACTCCCAGGTATTTGGTTGCGCTGCAATGCTCTAGTGGAATGCATGCAAACACTCAATAGAAAGAAATGAAGTTGGAGCTCCTGGTACAGCCATACCAGCACATTTGTCACTGCTTTTCTCCAAAGCTGAAAGAATGTGATGATTTACTCAAGGTTCTCCAGCAGCTGAGCAGAGCCTTGAACCTTAGTCCAAACTTCAACGCTCCCATTGTTTGGATGATTTCTCCCCAAACTTCTCTTCTGGCTGCAGGATTTATTGAGGAGCACAGTCCAAAAAATGGTTTCCAAGCTTTTTAGCTACTCTTGGAGGAGCTGAAGAGCTTTTGAACTCCACAAAGAGTTGGCGGTCCAATCCTTGACTCTTTTCCTTTGATGGAAGTCCAGTTGAAACTTGGAAATAAGTTTTCAGATTGCAACTGTGGGCAGAACCCAGCTGAGGAGAAGTGTCAATAATGCTTCTTTTAAGTCTTCTCCTTGAGGGTAAACTTTGGGAGATCTGAGTCCCCGACATTAATGGATGCACTGGAACAGAAACAAAGGCTGCGCATAGTGTCTTGCGGAGTTCTGAAAAGCCTTTGAAAAGATCTCAAAGCTTGTGGTTGTGTCCTTCCATTGGGTTCTGACTTATGGCAACCCTAAAGTGACCCCATCAGAGGGTTTTCTGGGGCTTAGAGTGTGTCTACACTGCAGAATCAGTGCAGTTTGAAACCACTTGAACTGCCATAATGCTACAGCAGTGTTTCTCAACCTGGGGGTCAGGACCCCGGGGGGGGGGGGTCGCGAGAGGGTGTCAGAGGGGTTGCCAAAGACCAGCAAAAAACACAATTTGGTTGTTGTGGGTTTTTTCGGGCTATATGGCCATGCTCTAGAGGCATTTTTCCTGACGTTTCGCCTGCATCTATGGCAAGCATCCTCAGAGGTAGTGAGGTCTGTTGGAACTAGGGAAAAGGGGTTTATATATCTGTGGAATGACCAGGGTGGGACAAAGGACTCTTGTCTGCTGGAGCTAGGTGTGAATGTTTCAACTGACCACCTTGATTAGCATTTGATGGCCTGGCAGTGCCTGGGGCAATCTTTTGTTGAGAGGTGATTAGATGTCCTTGATTGTTTCCTCTCTGTTGTTTTGCTGTTGTAATTTTAGAGTTTTTTAATACTGGTAGCCAGATTTTGTTCATTTTCATGGTTTCTTCCTTTCTGTTGAAATTGTCCACATGCTTGTGGATTTCAATGGCTTCTCTGTGTAGTCTGACATGGTGGTTGTGAGAGTGGTCCTGCATTTCTGGACCACTTTCACAACCACCATGTCAGACTACACAGAGAAGCCATTGAAATCCACAAGCATGTGGACAATTTCAACAGAAAAGGAGAAACCATGAAAAGGAACAAAATCTGGCTACCAGCAATAAAAAAAACTCCAAAATTACAACAGCACAACATTATAGAGGAAACAAACAAGGACATCTAATCACCTTCCAACAAAAGTTTACTCTAGGCACTGTCAGGCCATTATATGCTAATCAAGATGGTCAGTTGAAACATTCCCACCTAGCTCCAGCAGACAAGAGTTCTTTGTCCCACCCTGGTCATTCCACAGATATATAAACCCATTTTCCTAGTTCCAACAGACCTCACTACCTCTGAGGATGCTTGCCATAGATGCAGGCGAAATGTCAGGAGAGAATGCCTCTAGAACATGGCCATAGAGCCCGAAAAAAACTACAACAATCCAGTGATTCCTGCCATGAAAGCTTTTGACAACTCTGGTCTATTGGAGGTAGGTGTGAATGTTTCAATTGGCCACCTTGATTAGCATTGATTAAGAATGCTCTTTGATTGTAGGTGAACTATAAATCCCAGCAACTACAACTCCCAAATGTCAATATCTATTTTCCCCAAACTCCAACAGTGTTCACATTTGGGCATATTGAGTATTCATGCCAAGTTTGGTCCAGATACATCATTGTTTGAGTCCACAATGCTCTCTGGATATAAGTGAACTACAATTCCCAAACTCAAGGTCAATGCCCACCAAACTCTTCCAGTATTTTCTGTTGGTCATGAGAGTTATGTATGCCAAGTATGGTTCAGTTCCATCGTTGGTGGAGTTCAGAATGCTCTTTGAATTTAAATGAGTTTGGGAGTTGTAGTTCACCAACATCCAGAGAGCACTGCGGACTCAAAAAAATGATAGATCTGGGCCAAACTTGTCAGGAATCCTCAATATGCCCAAAACTGAACATTGGTGGAGTTTGGGGAAAATAGACCTTGCCATTTGAGAGCTGTAGTTCCTGGGATTTATAGTTCACCTACAATCAAAGAATATTATGAAGTCCACCAATGATAGAATTGGGCCAAACTTCCCACACAGAACCCCATGACCAACAGAAAATACTGTGTTTTCTGATGGTCTTTGGTGACCCCTCTGACACCCCCAGGTTGGTATGGGCAATAGCTAAACTGGGCTGGGGATTCTGGGAATTTTAGTACAAAGCAGCTTTTTCCACTTCTGAACTTTTGCTTGGAGAGAGATTTTGTCAAGCAAAATGTGCCTAGATGAGGGGAAACGTTGCAGTTTTTCGGGGAAATCTTAGTGACCCAGCATGGAAAGGACTTCGCTCCTCAACCAACTTGATCTCTCTGTTTCCTTTTTTCTTTTGTGCTTGTTTGCTGCTTGCACTCCCATCTCTGGAAGGCCTCTGGAAATTGAGTAAGTATTAGTGAGATCCTGTGTTTGCCTTTGCGATTCAATGTTTGTTTAGATAGCTAAACTTCAGAATGTTTTGAGCATGAGGATTTGGGCATATGCGATCATTGTTCTGTATCCTTAGTCTTCCTGGCTTTGTTTGCATGGAATTGTAAAGCAGGATTCAAAAGAAGGAAGACTTACCGTCCATAATGTGGGCTGCTGTGAGTTTTCCAGCCTGTCTGCCCATGTTCAGGAAGCATTCTCTCCTGACGTTTCGCCCACATCTATGGCAGGCATCCTCAGAGGTTGTGAGGTCTGTTGGAAACTAGGAAAATGGGGTTTATGTATCTGTGGAATGATGTCCAGGGTGGGAGAAAGAACTCTTGTCTGTTGGAGGCAAGTATGAATGTTGCAATTGGTCACCTTGATTGGCACTGAATAGCTTCAAAGCAGGAAATAAACAGTAATAAATAAATACAGCCTGTCTGCTTCCTGCCTGGGGAAATCCTTTGTAGGGAGGTGTTATCTGACCCTGATTCTGTTGTTGAAGGCTTTCATGGCTGGAATCACTGGGTTGCTGTGAGTTTTCTGAGCTGTATGGCCATGTTTCCAGAAGCATTCTCTCCTGATGTTTCGCCCACATCTATGGCAGGCATCCTCAGAGGTTGTGAGTCCTGTTAGGGTTTATATATCTGTGGAATGATGTCCAGGATGGGAGAAAGAACTCTTGTCTGTTGGAGGCAAGTATGAATGTTGCAACTGGCCACCTTCTTGGCACTGAATAGCCTTGCAGCTTCAAAGCCTATCTGCTTCCTGCCTTGGGGAATCCTTTGTAGGGAGGTGTTAGCTGTCCCTGATTCTGTTGTTGAAGCCTTTCATGGCTGGAATCACTGGGTTGCTGTGAGTTTTCCAGGCTGTATGGCCATGTTCGGAAAGCATTCTCTCCTGACGTTTTGCCCACATCTATGGCAGGCATTCTCAGAGGTTGTGAGGTCTGTTGGGAACTAGGCAAGTGGAGTTGATATATCTGTGGAATGATGTCCAGGGTGGGAGAAAGAACTCTTGTCTGTTGGAGGCAAGTATGAATGTTGCAGTTGGTCACCTTGGTTGGCACTGAATAGCCTTGCAGCTTCAAAGCCTGTCTGCTTCCTGTCCTGGGGAATCCTTTGTTGGGAGGAGTTAGCTGACCCTGATTCTGTTGTTGAAGGCTTTCATGGCTGGAATCACTGGGTTGCTGTGAGTTTTCCAGGCTGTATGGCCATGTTCGGGAAGCATTCTCTCCTGACGTTTTGCCCACATCTATGGCAGGCATCCTCAGAGGTGGTGAGATCTGTTGGAAACTAGGCAAGTGGGGTTTATATATCTGTGGAATGATGTCCAGGATGGGAGAAAGAACTCTTGTCCATTGGAGGCAAGTATGAATGTTGCAATTGGCCACCATGGTTGGCACTGAATAGCCTTGCAGCTTCAAACCCTGTCTGCTTCCTGCCCTGGGGAATCCTTTGTTGGGAGGTGTAGCTGACCCTGATTGTTTCCTGTCTGGAATTTCCCTGGTTTGTTGGAAACTAGGCAAGTGGGGTTTAGATATCTGTGGAATGATGTCCAGGGTGGGAGAAAGAACTCTTGTCTGTTGGAGGCAAGTATGAATGTTGCTATTGGCCACCTTGGTTGGCATTGAATAGCCTTGCAGCTTCAAAGCCTGTCTGCTTCCTGCCTTGGGGAATCCTTTGTTGGGAGGTGTTAGCAGACTCTGATTGTTTCCTGTCTGGAATTTCCCTGTTTTTTTTAAAGAGTTGTTCTTTATTTACTGACCTGATTTTAGAGATTTTTTAAATGCTATCCATTAACATACCTCTGGTGTGTCTTTCTTAATTTGATCCAAATTCTGGGCTTCAAATTGGATGTTTCCCACAGGAATCTGGATCCCATTGTTTCCTTCCCTGGAGGAGAGTCCAGCCGGGGCTTCATTCTTATCAGTGTCCTGGTTGAAAAAGCTGCTGCACCTGGAATCAAGGTATGTATGGTCTATCTCCACATTATTTTACTTCCTTTGCTTTGCCATGGCCCTCGCCCAGCAATTCCAGTACAACTTCCATATCTGCAGAACTGATATTGATATCGAGCTAGAATTTGGAGGCTCCTGCCCAGGAGAGAGGAGCCCTTAGACCCACCAAAGAGAGCCCGAAACCCTTGGCAAGCGAAAGATGAGAAAGGCCCAGAATTTTCCCTGATTTTTCCCAAATAAATCTCACCAAGGTTGAAGAAATGGCCACCAAGGCTTTTATTAGCAATTCAGCTGAAAAGGATGCAAAGCCGCAATCATTCGCCAGCCGAGCATGAGAAGAATACACCAATACATATTTATAGCAAATTCAAAGTTGTAGAGTTCAAACTTCCCGCCCCAGCTTCCCTGACGTTCCCCGCCGTGATTGGGCGACGGGCGAACAGCTGGGAGGCGGCCCTCCCGCCCCCTGGGCTTCAGGACCAATCAGGAAGCTTCAGCGGTGCATTGAATCCAATGGGAAGGCTCCTGCCGCCTAGCGGCAACAGCGAATCAGGGGAGAGGGAGGCGGGACGATAGAACACAAAGGAATCTGTGAATGAGTTTTGAAAAAATAATGCCATGTGGCTTGCGAGACAAAAAAGGAAGTCTCAAGCAGGGCTGATCTATTGTGTTTTGATTGGAATGAATCAACATGTGTAAAGGAAAATCTGGCCAGCAAACATGAGGACAATGAGGGCGAAACTGGGGTGAGTGYTCCTTAGTGGGAAGTTAGTTAAATCAACCAGTGTGAAGGTGGGGGCTTTTCGAAGGTCCCCTGACCTCCAGGTAGAAAAATGATTAAAGTTTTGCCAGGGGGCGGCAACTTTGTTGGGCGATCCTCCGAGAACAAAGGGCAGCCGCCAGGATATTGTTCATGCAAAGGAAATTCTGGATTAAAGTTCTTTAGTGAATGCCTGGGCTCTGCAGTTTCCTGGGGGGATTTCTTCATGAGGAGAAGGGGGGAAAGGTCAAATGGGGGGGGGGGGCCTCTGCCATGAGGAAGGGAAATGTTTGTGGGGAATGATAAAAGTATAAAATTCATAAGAGAAAGTCTCAGAGGTTCCACTGAGCCAGCTAAGGGAGACCCACCACATTGAGATCAACTCTGGTCCTTTGTCCTTGGAAAACTGTAACTCTTTCCAAGGGCTGGAGCCCAGGGACCAATCTGCTCCCTGAAAGCCTCCTGGGGTCCTTGCTGTTGTTAGTGTCTTGGCAAATTGACCAAGGCTTAACCCCTATTGTGCAGTCTGGTGCCCTTGCCCTTTGCAGAACTATAAGTTACTACCTCTTATTGGGGGGGAGGCGGGGGGCATGCTCGGCTTCAGTATTAGTGGTCCACTTATCCAAAGTTTTCCTTATTCTCTTGGAGCCTCTTGTACAAGCGGCACTCTCTTCTCTGTACTTCCTTCATTCATGCTATCGAAAATAATAGGGTTTACTCTCAATGGTTTGAAGTATCCGTTTGAAACCTGGAAAGAGATCCCTGCGGCTATTAGGATTATATGATACCTGGCCTAACACAGGAACGTGATGTGTTAAATTAATTGGTACTGCATAGAATCCTAGAATCAAAGAGTTGGAAGAGACCTCCTGGGCCATCATCCAGTCCAACCCCATTGTGCCAAGAAGCAGGAATATTGCATTCAAAGCCCTGACAGATGGCCATCCAACCTCTGTTTAAAAGCCTCCAAAGAAGGAGCCTCCACACACTCCGGGGCAGAGAGTTCCACTGCTGAACGGCTCTCACAGTCAGGAGAGCTGTTCAGTCAGGAGCTCACAGTCAGGAAGAATGCAGACTGAGCCCTGCCACTTGCACAATGGAGGACCTTCTCACAGTGACACCAAGTTGCCAGCTTCTGGTCAAAGGGAATCTAGTATAATGTCAAGTTTTTGACTTTGCTTGTGTTATTTTATATACATAATAACAGTACCCTCAATTTGCTTCAGACAGAAGTAAATAAATACGTGCCATTTGGTCCAGTTTTTATAGTGTCTTGATGTATTGTTTATTGCTTTGCTTTATTCTGTTTTTAATTGTTTGATTTGCTTAGATTGTATTGTTGTGTTGTGTGTTGGGGCCTCGGCCTGTGTGGGCCGCATCGAATCCTTCGGGAGATGCTAGCGGGGTACAAATAAAGTTTAATAATAATAATAATAATTTTAAAAGAAATAGTGTTACCTGACGTCTGGAGAAACTGAAAGTTAATATTTCTTAAGATGCTTCACTGCCATGATACGAAGGGTATTTTTTAAGTAAGGTCCGTTTTGTTGTAGACACTAGTAGTTTGCGCGCATACCGCAACGAGCGTGTGCGTTGTGTACCGGCATGCCTCGGGAACAACTGTGCTCAGTTTCCGCTCTGTAGCTAACCTGTACGGTTCTGTTCTGTGCTTTAAAAATGTTTAAGACTCTCAACTCACCCTCTGCATGTGAGGTTCGCTCAGTGATATTTTGTCAGCAAGGAACCTGCCTGCTGCAGAAATCCATCGACAGATTTGTGAAGTGTACGGTGAGACTGTTATGAGTGAAAGCAAAGTGCGTAAGTGGGTACGACAATTCAAAGATGGCCGTGACAACGTCCATGATGAGGACCGCTCCGGTCGCCCTTCTTTGATTACAGACGATTTGATTTGATCGCACACTCAAATCTTTGGTTTTTGTGGTCCTCTGTTAGGAGTTTCGGGACCCAACGGGAGCACAGTTTCCTAAACTTTAGGTGTTCAGAAACAATGTTGTAAAGCACTGATCTCGACACGTCAGGAAATTTGTTTGAGAGACCTGTTATTGTGAAGCGCCTGTTCTCACGAATCCTCGCTTCAACTGAAGCCACCAAATCGTCTGTAATCAAAGAAGGGCGACCGGAGCGGTCCTCATCATGGACGTTGTCACGGCCATCTTTGAATTGTCGTACCACTTTCCTTGCTGACAAAAACCGTATCACTGAGCGAACCTCACATGCGGAGGGTGAGTTGATAGTCTTAAACATTTTTAAAGCACAGAACAGAACCGTACAGGTTAGCTACAGAGCGGAAACTGAGCACAGTTGTTCCCGAGGCATGCCGGTACACGACGCACGCGCTCATTGCGGTATGCGCGTGAACTACTAGTGTCTACAACAAAACGGACCTTAGTTAAAAAATACCCCTCGTACATTCTGTCAATTCTGTACAACTCAAGGCCCTGCAGGTGTTTTGGACTTCAGTTCCCAGAATTCCAGTAACTTATTATTTTTTATTTATTTGTCATGTCAGCAACCAGTCAATTATATTACATTTCCAACAGAACAAAGCAAAAAATAGACAAAATACAAAATTTGTGAGTTTGGTAGTTGATTAAATGTCCTTTGACCAGTATCTGGCCACTTGGAGTGCTTCTGGTGTTGCTGCAAGGAGGTCCTCCATTGTGCATGTGGCAGGACTCAGGTTGCATTGCAGCAGGTGGTCAGTGGTTTGCTCTTCTCCACACTCGCATGTCGAGGATTCCACTTTGTAGCCCCATTTCTGAAGGTTGGCTCTGCATCTCGTGGTGCCAGAGCGCAGTCTGTTCAGCGCCTTCCAAGTTGCCCAGTCCTCTGTGTGCCCAGGGGGAAGTCTCTCATTTGGTATCAGCCATTGGTTGAGGTTCTGGGTTTGAGCCTGCCACTTTTGGACTCTCGCTTGCTGAGGTGCATGTGTACAGTGCGTCCCCTGGGCAACGTCTTCGTAGACGGCTGATTCTCTCGCCACAGAAGCGACCAGCATGCATGCAAGCAAGCAAAACAACCAACAGTCCTTTTCAGGACCAACCATGACAATAATCTCAATCAACATTGAAGGCATGTCAGCTGCCAAAGAACAACTGCTCTATGAACTGTGCCGAGATCCCAGTAACTACAACTCACATATGTCAAGGTCTATTTCCCCCCAAGAGTGCCTCAAGAGCGCCCCTGGGCAAAATCAACTACACCGCAAATGCTTACTTTGCGTAATGGGTTGGGCTGCCCCTGCATTTGGGGCCACATGAGCAAACCCCATGATAGAGTCACCTTAGGGTCACCATAAATCAGGAATAATTTGAAAGCACACAGAAACAAGATCATAATTTTTGGAGTTGCATATAGCTATTGTAGAATCACCTTTCCTAGGCATTTGAAGTTTCCTGCAAAGAGGCGTGATAGTTCCTGTTCCAGCTACGATCTCACAATGCAATTTTTTTTTATCTCTGAACATCTTTCAGCAGGAACAATAAAACAGAAAGCTACACATCAACACTTTCAAACAATAGCTCATTCTCATTCCCCCTCTGGGTTACAAAACAAGCTAATATCTTGTATCCTCCACTTTGATCCATACCAGATTTATAATTAACCTCTCCTGACCCTATTGATGTCGACATCTTACAAACTTCGGGGAGGTTTTGCTTAACTAACCAACCTTCCTATCGATTGCCTCTAATCTGAGACACAAGCTGTTTCTTAATCCACCTGAGATATTGGAGTGGACCCTTCGGTGCTCCTCAACTGAGGAGAGCAAACAGAAGATAAACAGGGTGCAAAGGAGAGTGCAAAGGTGAATGAACCTCAAGTTTGGGCAACTCAGTTGATGAAAGGAGAATTTACTGAGTTGCCCAGCATTACAGGAATGTTTTCATTGGAACTACTTGACATGTCACAACCTTTGAAGCGCACCTTTGGAAATGAAGGGAATTTGCAAATGATGGGACTTGGAATAATTTTGGGGGCAATTAACCTATGAACTCTAAGCCTGCCATTCTTTCTTGTCTTTGACAGGCAGTGGCCCAAGCCATCAATGGCCTCCTTCAGTTTGATAACCGGATGTTGGAGGAAGCCTTGCGGGAACTGACCAACACTCTCAAAGACATGATGAGCACATTGAAGAAAATGCACGGTAAATGGGGTGCCTCCTATTACAATCCCTATTGCACTGAGGACAGGAAAAGACATAAAAAGAGGAAAAAGTGACAAAGAAATGGGTGAAATTCCATAAGGCCAGGATGGATTAGACCTGGGGGTGTATCTACACGGTAGGATTAGTGCAATTATTGCTCAATGCTATTGGGATCCTAGGACTTGTCTGCAAAAAATGATGATGCCACTCCAAACTATAAATCCCAGGATTCCATAGCACTGAAAAAAAAGGAAAGGAAAGGTGTGCTGGTACAGCTGTACCAGAAACTACAACTTTATTTGCTTTGTTTAAGTGTTTGCTTGCAGCCCAAGGCTTGGGATTCTGCAGAAGGGTGGCTTCCTGTTAAAGTTTGCAGTTATAGGGCAGGCCCCCTGTCCATCATCGTTAAGTTTGGTTCCGCCCCCTGTTCAGGACAACTGAGAAGGGAAGGGAGCCATTTTCAGTCAGTCTCAGCAAGGTTAGCCAATGTACAGGATGTGTGTAAACTTCCCCTGTACAAAAGCTTCAACCTTTAAGAATTTCCAGGGTTACAGAAATTCCAACAGAAACAGAAGGGAAAGAATTTCCAGGGGAAGAACTCCAGGGAGCATTCCCACAGCTTTAAGAACTCCAGGGAAGTATTCCCACAGCTTTAAGAATTTCAAGGAAAACAGCCCTAAATATTAAAGAACTCCAGCTGGAGAACTTCTACTGCCTTGCTGGTAGGTCCACTCGGCGTTCGAAACGCAGTTCGACCCGGTAGCGGAGCCCACGCCAGTAAGGGTTAGAGTACAGTCAGCCTGGGAGAAGTTAAAAAGGGGATTTTCCTTTAAAGGAGAAGTTATTGAAGACAGTTGCCTGTCCTTCGTGGGCAAGATTAGGAATTCACCTGTTGCCTAAAAGCTTGGAATCATTTGCTTAACTTTACTGAAGACAAGAGAAGTTTCTGTTTGATTGTTCATTAATAAAAGACTTTGTTGTACTTCTCAAGCCATCTAAAGACTGTTTGTGGTGGAAACCTCTGAGAACTTCTCCTTGGGCCCCTGGCTTCCCACTGGGCAAAGGTTACACATCCTGTTTTAAAGACAATTATTTACAGGCCCAGGGCCGGGCTTAGCACAGTGGGTTAAACCGCTAAAATGCAGAAAATCCTGCTGACTGAAAGGTAGGCAGTTCAAGCCTGGATCGGGGTGAGCACCCGTCGTAAAGACAAGCTTCTGCTCATGTAACAGATCGAAAACAGAAATGTAAGTAGATAAATAGGTACTGCTTTAAGTGGGGAGGTAATAAAAAGGTGCCCATAAGACCCTGCTGGTGATTCAATCGGGAGTCTGCTTGGCATGGAAGATGGAGAGACAGCACCCCTCCCTCCTCCCCGCCATAGCCGGAGTCGAGCACAGTCTCCAGATGCCAGAAATGGGAAAATATGAGAAAAGCTTTTACATCTGTTTATGAAGTGTCTGCCCTTGTTAATTGTTATAAAGACATTAAATGTTTGCCCTATATGTGTTCTGTAATCTGTCCTGAATCCCCTTGGGGAGATAGAGTGGAATACACGAGAGTTATCTGGAAAGTAAGGTTACAAGGCACGTAGCTCGTGCAGGGAATTTTTGCGGGGGAAGTTGGTATCACTGCTGTGTGATGAGAGGCCAAAGTAAGCGAACGAGCAGTGCCAGTCGTCAGTAGCTCATCAACTGGCGTTGTGATGAAGGTTAGAGTTGAGCGTCCTCATTCCAGGGGAAGTTGGTATCACTGCTATGTAGCGGGAAGCCAGCAGAAGCAAATGAATAGCACCAGTCGTCAGTAGCACCAGTCGTCAGCCGTAGCAAATGAGTAGCACCAGCTCATTGACTGGTGTGGTGAAGGTTAGAGATGAGTGTCCTCCTTCCGCAGGAAGGTGGTATCACTGAGGTGTAGCGGGAAGCCAACAGAAGCGAACGAGCGGTGCCAGTAGTCAGTAGCTCATCGACTGCCATTGTGGTGGGGGTTAGAGATGAGTGTCCTCATTCCGCAGGAAGGTAGTATCACTGAGGTGTAGCGGGAAGCCAGCAGAAGCGAATGAGCGGTGCCAGTCGTCAGTAGCTGATGGACTGGCATTGTGGTGGAGGTTAGAGATGAGTGTCCTCATTCCGCAGTAAGGTGGTATCACTGAGGTGGAGTGGAAAGACAGCAGAAGCGAACGAGAGGTGCCAGTCGTCAGTAGTTCATCGACTGGCATTGTGGTGGAGGTTAGAGATGAGTGTCCTCATTCTGCAGGAAGGTGGTATCACTGAGGTGTAGCGGGAAGCCAGCAGAAGCGAATGAGCAGTGCCAGTTGTCAGTAGTTCATCGACTGGCATTGTGGTGGAGGTTAGAGATGAGTGTCCTCATTCCGCAGGAAGGTGGTATCACTGAGGTGTAGCGGGAAGCCAGCAGAAGCGAACGAGCAGTGCCAGTCATCAGTAGCTCATCAACTGGCATTGTGGTGGAGGTTAGAGATGAGTGTTCTCATTCCGCAGTAAGGTAGTATCACTGAGGTGTAGCGGGAAGCCAGCAGAAGCGGAGCAGTGCCAGTCATCTGTAGCTCATCAACTGGCATTGTGGTGGAAGTTAGAGATGAGTGTCCTCATTCCGCAGGAAGGTGGTATCACTGAGGTGTAGCGGGAAGCCAGCAGAAGCGAACGAGCAGTGCCAGTCGTCAGTAGCACATCGACTGGCATTGTGGTGGAGGTTAGAGATGAGTGTCCTCATTCCGCAGGAAGGTGGTATCACTGAGGTGTAGCGGGAAGCCAGCAGAAGTGAACGAGCAGTGTCAGTCGTCAGTAGTTCATCAACTGACATTGTGGTGGAGGTTAGAGATGAGTGTAATCATTATGTTTCCTTCCAAGTGCGAAGTTCACGCTGTAATACGCTACCTAAATGCTAAGGGCATGAACACCACTGCAATTCATAGCATGTATTTTTCAAAATCTTGTATCATTACTTTCCTGATAACCCTCAGAAATCTATATATATAAAATGGGAAAGGGCGTTCAACGGGACAGCAAAACGCGATAGTATATTATTATTAACGAATCCTCTCCCTTTGTTTCCTAGATCATGTGGATCCGGCAGTCTTTTATGGTGTGGTACGGATCTTTGTTTCTGGGTAAGAAGAGTATTTATCCCTTTGTTTGGGAGATGGAGGTTAATGCGAAAGGAAATGGTTATTCTTTGTCCTTGCAGAAGCGGATGAAATATCCCAGGGTGCATCCACACTGTAGAATGAATGCGGTTTGACCCCACTTGAACTTGCCATGGTTCCATCCTCTGGAATTCTAGGAGCTGTTTGGCAAGATCTTTAGCCTTCTCTATCAAAGAGTTCCACAATACAACCCCCACGGTTCCATAGCATTGTTTTTCCCCTTTGCATCCCACGCTTCCAGCCTTCCATCAGAACCAATCTGGTTTGGAAGATCATTGACAGGGGAATTGTTAGAGCAAATCTATTTTTAGTAACTTCTTGACACGGAAGGCTGTCTATAAATAGATGCCTCCAGGGAGCTATAAATAGATTTTGATCACAAAATCGTCTCCTTCCTCAGCTCTGCAAAAATTGCTTGTGCCAAAGAAAACAGGCAGAAGAGACCTCTAAATGCCATTCTCTGCTCTCCCTCACCTCTCAACTCTCTCTCTCTTGTATACTGGATATTTTCAGACTTGGAAAGATCACTTGTGAGGCTTACAACCATTATTATTATTATTATTATTATTATTATTATTATTATTATTATTACTAGAAACACAACAAGGTGACTCCACAGCAGGCACTCTGCTGTCTGTCTATTATTATTATTATTATTATTATTACTACTACTATTATTATTATTATTATTATTATTAGAAACACAACAAGGTGAGTCTGCAACAGACACTCTGCTGGCTGTTTATTATTATTATTATTATTATTATTATTAGAAACACAACAAGGTGAGTCCACAGCAGACACTCTGCTGGCTGATTATTATTATTATTATTATTATTATTATTATTATTATTATTATTATTATTATACAAGATGGATGAGTCCACAGCAGGCACTCTGCTGGCTGTTATTATTATTATTATTATTATTATTATTATTATTATTAGAAACACAACAAGGTGAGTCCACAGCAGACACTCTGCTGGCTGTTGTATTGGATCACATATCATTATTATTATTATTAGAAACACAATGTGGTGAGTCCACAGCAGACACTCTGCTGGCTGATTATTATTATTATTATTATTATTATTATTATTATTATTATTATAGAAACACAATGTGGTGAGTCCACAGCAGACACTCTGCTGGCTGTTTATTATTATTATTATTATTATTATTATTTTTAGAAACACAACAAGATGAGTCCACAGCGCACTTGCTGCTGTTTATTGTTATTATTATATTATTATGTTATTATGAAACACAACAGGATGAGTCCACAGCAGACACTCTCTGCTGATGTATTATTATTATTTATTATTATTATTATTATTATTATTATTATTATTAGAAACACAATGTGGTGAGTCCACAGCAGACACTCTGCTGGCTGTTATTATTATTATTATTATTATTATTATTATTATTATTAGAAACACAATGTGGTGAGTCCACAGCAGACACTCTGCTGGCTGTTTATTATTATTATTATTATTATTATTATTTTTAGAAACACAACAAGGTGAGTCCACAGCAGACACTCTGCTGGCTGTGTATTATTATTATTATTATTATTATTATTATTATTATTATTATTATTTGATACACCACAAGATGAGTCCACAGCAAACAAGCTCACTCTGCTGACTGTTGTATTGGATCACACATCGGACACTTCCCAAGTGTCTAGGGCTGTCTGATGTATTGACAAATAATGCATGCAGATCCGAATAGGGTGGCCTTTTGCAGCTGACAGATAGTAATTTTGTCAGCGCTGATTGTGTTTAAGTGCAGGCCAAGGTCTTTAGGCACTGCACCCAGTGTGCCGATCACCACTGGGACCACCTTGACTGGCTTGTGCCAGAGTCTTTGCAGTTCGATCTTTAAATCCTCATATCGTGTCAGCTTTTCCAGTTGTTTCTCTTCAATCCTGCTGTCACCTGGGATTGCAATGTAGACAATCCATACTTTTTCTCTCACGACTGTGAGGTCAGGAGTCTTGTGCTCCAAAACTCTGTCAGTCTGAATTTTGGAAGTCTCAGAGGAGTTTGACGTGTTTATTATTATTATTATTATTATTATTATTAATATTATTATTGCTGTGCAATTATGGGAGTTAAGCCTCCTGGTGGTGCAGCGGGTTAAACCGCTGAGCTGCTGAACTTGCTGACCAAAAGGTTCACAGTTCACCTACATCTATGGCAGGCATCCTCAGAGGCTGTGAGGTCTGTTGGAAACTAGGCAAGTGATGTTTATACATCTGTGGAATGTCAGGGCCAGCTAACACCTTCCAACAAAGGATCCCCCAGGCAGGAAGCGGATGCCTGCCATAGATGCAGGTGAAACATCAGGAGAGAATGCTTCTGGAACATGGCCATACAGCCCAGAAAACTTACAACAACCCCGTGATTCCAGCCATAAAAGCCTTCAATAACACACAGACCCCAGAAAATACAGCAAAGATGGGGAACAGCGTGAGCTCCCACTGTTAGCCCCAGCTTCTGCCAACCTAACAGTTCAAAAACATGCAAATGTGAGTAGATCAATATGTACCACTTCAGCAGGAAGGTAACAGCACTCCTTGCAGTCATGCTGGCCACATGACCTTGGAGGCGTCTATGGACAATGCCGGCTCTTTGGCTTAGAAATGGAGATGAGCACCAACCCCCAGAGTCGGACACAACTAGACTGAATGTCAGGGGCAACCTTTACCTTTACCTTTAGTTTTACAGGGTCTTTTGCCTTCTCTGCCAAAGAGGGCTGGTACCTCACCAAACTACAAATCCCAGGATGCTATAACTTTGAGCCATGACAGTAGCATCTCAGAGATTTCTAGATCCTCCATTGTGATTCTGTGGCTAGCATCTTTGGGAACTTGACCACAGAATTAGGCTGGAAACCCTAGAGCAGTGTTTCTCAACCTGGGGGTCGGGACCCCTGAGGGGGTCGTGAGGGGGTGTCAAAGGGGTCGCCAAAGACCATCAGAAAACATAGTATTTTCTGTTGGTCATTGGGATTCTGTGTGGGAAGTTTGACCCAATTCTATTGTTGGTCGAGTTCAGAATGCTCTTTGATTGTAGGTGAACTATAAATCCCAACAACTACAACTCCCAAATGTCAAGGTCTATTTTCCCCAAACTCCACCAGTGTTCACATTTGGGCATATTGAGTATTCATGCCAAGTTTGGTCCAGATCCATCATTGCATGAATCCACAGCACTCCTCTGGGTATAGGTGAACTACAACTCCCAAACTCAAGGTCAATGCTCACAAAACCCTTCCAGTGTTTTCTGTTGGTCATGGGAGTTCTGTGTGCCAAGTTCGGTTTAAATCCATCGCTGGTGGAGTTCAGAATGCTCTTTGATTATAGGTGAACTATAAATCCCAGCAACTACAACTCCCAAATACAAAATCAATCCCTCCCACACACTACCAGTATTCAAATTTGGGCGTATTGGGTCTTTGTGCTAAATTTAGTCTAGTGAATGAAAATGCATCCTGCATATCGGATATTAACAGGAGTAAAATGACAGGTATCAAGTAGCAACGAAAACAATATTATGGTTGGGGGTCACCACAACATAGGGAACTGCATAAAGGGGTCACGGCATTAGCAAGGTTGAGAATCACAGCCCTAGAGATAAGTTCTAGTAGGTCCAAAAGTAGCAATTTATTAGGCCTGTGCGGTTTCGTTCGTTAATTCGTTAATTCGTTATTAATTCGTTATTTTTGGCATTTCCGAAGCGATATTGAAACATATTTCCAAACCCGGAAGGGTTTTTAAATATCGAACCAGCAACCCCCATAGTTTTAACGAGCCTCCGCTCGTTTCGTTAATGGGGTGGAGGCTGCTGGAGTGCTGGTGCCTGGGAGCCAATCCGGCGCTCCCAAGCAGTGCACCATGGGTCCGTGGCTGTCTGTTTTTGATTGGCCGGCGAGCCCTTTCAAAGCGGCTCCGCGCGGCCCGTAGCTTGCTGCAGAGGGCGAGGGAGTTTGCATTGGGTTGGCTTGGCAATGGCTGCTAGCAACTGGGATTGGATTCATTCCTTGCTGCTGTGAGTGCTGCTTGCTTCATTTGCTGTCTCTTGCCTGTGTTTGGTCCACATTTGGGCCATTTTTTGGTTAACTTTCCATTTTAAAATATTTTTAATATTATTTTTTAATATTATTTTTAATATTATTTTTTAATATTATTTTTAATATTATTTAAAATATTCTAAAAAAGAAAAGACTCTTCTGTTGGTGTGTGCTCTCATTTGCTGTATCCTGCCTGTGTTTGGTCCACATTTGGGGCATTTTTTGGTTAATTTTCCATTTTAAAATATTTTTTAATATTATTTTAATATTATTTTTTAATATTATTTTAATATTATTTTTAAAAAATATTCTAAAAAATAAAAAGAAAAGACTCTTCTGTTGGTGTGTGCTCTCATTTGCTGTATCGTGCCTGTGTTGGTCCACATTTGGGCCATTTTTTGGTTAATTTTCCATTTTAAAATTTTTTTAATATTATTTTAATATTATTCTTAAGAAATACAAAAAATATTCTAAAAATTCGTTAATATTTACAAAATTTCTTAAATACCAAAACTTTTTTGTGTGAAAGTTTTGTAATTATTTTAAATATTGAAAAAAAAAACACCCCAATTACAAATCGATTTTAGAAACAATTTTTTTCTTGATCAAACAGGCCTACAATTTATTGGTGTTTGGGGTTGTAGCCCAAAATACGTCAACTTTTCAGAGTTTTGGATTCTATCTCTATGGCATAGTTCCAGTCTTGCAAAGCTGTGAAGTCTTCTATGCAGCTGATGGAGAGAAGATGGAGGTTGGCTCCTGCGTTGTGGTTGTGTGCGATCGCTTTCATCAAATTGCAGCTTAAAAATAGACCGGGCTGATCTCGGGGGTCTTGCCAACATCTGGCAGGGGCAGGTGGCACCGAGCAGCTAATGAGCCCATTCGCAGCTTGACTCCTGGAAGGAACCCGACCCTCTGTTCGATCGGAAGCCTTTCTCCTGCAATGCGTCACCCAGCAGTTCGGCTCGGAAAATGTGCAGCCGCTGCCAGCATGGCACCAAAGTCATGCTCATGCTTTCCGTCGGACTGTCTTAAAGGTGAACCATTGCAAACGAGAAGGTCGGGAAAGGTGGTTCCTATTATGGACACAAAAAAAAAATCCATCTACATCAGGGGTTCTCAACCCTCCTTATGCCGCGACCCCTTAATACAGTTTCTTATGTTGTGGTGACCCCCAACCAAAAAATTATTTTCCTTGCTACGTTCATAACTGTAATTTTGTTACTGCTATGAATTGTAATGTAAATATCAGATACGCAGGATGTATTTTCATTCACTGCACCAAATTTGGCATTAATACCCGATATGCCCAAATCTGAATACTGGTGGAGTTGGGGGGTGATAATGATTTTGTCATTTGGGAGTTGTAGTTGCTGGGATTTATAGTTCACCTACAATCAAAAGAGCATTCTGAACTCCACCAACAATGGAATTGAACCAAACTTGGCACACAGAACTCCCATGACCAACAGAAAATACTGGAAGGGTTTGATGGGCATTGACCTTGAGTTTTGGAGTTGTAGTTCACCTTACATCCAGAGAGCACTGTGGACTCAAACAATGATAGATATGGACCAAACTTGGCATGAATACTCAATATGCCCAAATGTGAACACTGGTGGAGCTTGGGTAAAATAGACCCTGACATTTGGGAGTTGTAGTTGTTGGGATTTATAGTTCACCTACAACCAAAGAGTATTCTGAACCCCACCAATGATAGAATTGGGTCAAACTTCCCACACAGAGACCCCCATGATCAACAGAAAATGCTGGAGGGATTTGGGATGAATTGACTGATATAGGGGAAATCTAGTTCACCTACATCCACAGAGCACTGTGAACCCAAATGACTATGCCAAAGGGATTTCTAACACCATCAGAAATGTGTTTTCTGATGGTCTTTGGTGACCCCTCTGAAACCCCCTCGCGACCCCCCCAGGGGTCCCGACCCCCAGGTTGAGAAACCCTGATCTACATGGACCCGTTAATGTAGTTTGAAGCTAGCTTCAAACTGCAGCTGACAAACAACAAACTCCCCCCAAAGCATGCAAAGCAAAGTTCTCCATCTGCACCAATAGTCTGCGGTTTGTGTCATCCCCATCCAGGGTTTCTCATTCGGAAACATGTGCTATATGACGATGTGTCACCTTTGCTGTATTTTCTGGGGTCTTTGTGCTATTGAAGGCTTTCATGGCTGGAATTACTGGGTTTTTGTAAGTTTTCCGGGCTGTATGGCCATGTTCCAGAACCATTCTTGGCTCAACATCATTCTCTCCTGACGTTTCGCCTGAATCTATGGCAGGCATCCACTTCCTTCCTGGGGGATCCTTTGTTGGAAGGTGCTAGCTGGTCCTAACATTCCACAGATGTATAAGCATCACTTGCCTAGTTTCCAACAGACCTCATAGCCTCTGATGATGCCTGCCATAGATGCAGCTTCATTAGCATTGAATAGTCTTGCAGCTTCAAAGCCTGGCTGCCTCCTGCCTGGGGGAATCCTTTGATGGGAGGTGTTAGCTGGCCCTAACATTCCACAGATGTATAAACATCACTTGCTGAGTTTCCAAAAGACCTCATAGCCTCTGACGATGCCTGCCATAGATGCAGCTTCATTAGCATTGAATAGCCTTGCAGCTTCGAAGCCTGGCTGCTTCCTGCCTGGGGGAATCCTTTGATGGGAGGTGTTAGCTGGCCCTAGCATTCCACAGCTGTATAAATATCACTTGCCTAGTTTCCAACAGACCTTATAGCCTCTGAGGATGCCTGCCATAGATGCAGCTTCATTAGCATTGAATAGTCTTGCAGCTTCAAAGCCTGGCTGCCTCCTGCCTGGGGGAATCCTTTGATGGGAGGTGTTAGCTGGCCCTAACATTCCACAGATGTATAAACATCACTTGCTGAGTTTCCAAAAGACCTCATAGCCTCTGATGATGCCTGCCATAGATGCAGCTTCATTAGCATTGAATAGTCTTTCAGCTACAAAGCCTGGCTGTCTCCTGCCTGGAGGAATCCTTTGATGGGCGGTGTTAGCTGGCCCTAACATTCCACAGATGTATAAATATCACTTGCCAAGTTTCCAAAAGACCTCATAGCCTCTGAGGATGCCTGCCATACAGAGGCGGCCCTAGATAATTTTCAATGGTAAGCAAACAGTATTTTGCCCCCACCCCCCAACCAATCATTGATATATATTTTCTGTGTCGTGGGAGTTCTGTGTGCCATATTTGGTTCAATTCCATCATTGGTGGAGTTCAGAATGCTCTTTGATTGTAGGTGAACTATACATCCCAGTAACTACACTTGCCGCACTTGCTCCCTTGCCTGGCCCGCTTTGGGTCTGGAGGCGTGCCTGAAGACCCTGGCGTGTGCACCAAAAGTCACCTCTTCTCCTGACTTTCTCCTCAGCCATTGGGACCGAGAGAGAGAGAGAGAGAGGGGAGATGCCCACCTTTCCTGAAGGTAGGCGCAAAAACAAAGGAGGGAGCGGAGGTGGGAGATACCTCCAGCCGGAGGGGCTCTCTCTCTCTCTCTCTCTCTCTTGGTCCCAATGGCTGAAGAGAAAGTCAGGAGAAGAGGCGACTTTTGGTGCGCACGCTGGGGTCTTCAGACACGCCTTCGGACCCAAAGCGGGCCAGGTATGGCGGCTCCGCCCCTTGGCCCACCTGCGGATTGGGGAGAGGAGAGGAGGCGGGTGGAGTGCCGGGGGATCGGGAAAGGGAGCCGGTCATGGGGAAGGGATTGAACGCGGAGAACGATTGAGCGCCGGCTCTGCTCGCGCACCGGTGGCCGGGTGGAGCAGGAACGAGAGGGGCTAGGCGAGGCTCAAGGGCCCGGCCCCTTTGGGAAGAGGATCGCCCGGCAGCGAGGCAAGAAAGCCGAGGCTCCCCCCCAGACTGCTAGGGCTGTTGTGAGCTGAGGGGGCGCTCCTCAAGTGGCAGTCGAGGGGCATTTACAGAGGCGCCTCTGCGCCCCTGGAAAAAAAAGTGTTCTGCGACCGCTTACTTCGCATAATGGACGAGCCGCCCCTGCTCATTCGGAAACATGTGCTATGTGACTATGTGCCACCTTTGCTGTATTTTCTGGGGTCTTTGTGTTATTGAAGGCTTTCATGGCTGGAATCACTTGGTTGTTGTAAGTTTTCCGGGCTTTATGGTCATGTTCCAGAAGCATTCTGTCCTGACATTTCTGCATCTATGGCAGGCATCCGCTTCCTTCCTGGGGATCCTTTGTTGGAAGGTGTTAGCTGGGCCTAACATTCCACAGATGTATAAACATCACTTGCCTAGTTTCCAACAGACCTCATAGCCTCTGATGATGCCTGCCATAGATGCAGCTTCATTAGCATTGATTAGTCTTGCAGCTTCAAAACCTGGCTGCTTCCTGTCTGGGGGAATCCTTTGATGGGAGGTGTTAGCTGGCCCTAACATTCTACAAATGTATAAACATCACTTACCTAGGTTCTTGTGGCATTTCTCCTGACGTTTCGCCTGCATCTATGGCAAGCATCCTCAGCCTTCGACAATACATCACTTACCTAGTTTCCAACAGACCTGATAGCCTCTGATGATGCCTGCCAGACAGGTAGCAGCCAGGCTTTGATGCTGCAAGGCCATTCAATGCTAATCAAGCTGGCCAATTGCAACATTCACACTAGCCTCCAACAGACAAGAGTTCTATCTTCCACCCTGGACATCATTCCATTGATATATATATAAACCCAATTTTCGTAGTTTCCAACAGACCTCACAACTAATAATAATAATAATAATAATAATAATAATAATAATAATAATAATAATAATACTTTATTTATACCCCGCTCCATCTCCCCCAGGGAGATGCAGCTTACATGAGCCCATGCCCATAGTACAGTACATACATTGTAATACAAAACATAACAAAACCAGAAAATAAAATACATAAAATGCAAAGAAATATAATAAACGACACAAACAATATAAAACAAGCGATTAAAAACAGAGGATTTCACTGGGGAGGGCCACATTAAGGCTAATTTTTTAAAAAACACTGGGAGATAGGACAATGTAAATTATCAGGATGAGGATGCCTGCCATAGATGCAGGCAAAATGTCAGGAGAGAATGCTCCTAGAACACGGCCAGGAAAACACACAAGTACCCAGTTTGTGGGGTCTTCCAGGCAATATCACATCCTCGCATTGCCTTTCTTTTCTTGTAGCTGGAAGGACAGCCCGGCCTTCCCAGATGGTCTGATCTACGAAGGAGTCAGCGAGAAACCACTCTCGTATTCCGGGGGAAGCGCAGCCCAGAGCACCACTTTGCACGCGTTTGATGAACTCCTTGGAATACAGCATTGCAAAGAAAGCAGTAAGTCGGTGCTTTAAGTTGATATGAGACTCGGCTCCACCTCACCTTCAAATAAACCCAACTTCCATCTCTTAACTGAGACCCAAAGAAATCCCAAAAAAACATGTGTAGTGGAATTCAGATGCTGCATTCAACATAGTTTGTGCAATGCAATGAAAATGCAATGAGTTTGCACATGACACCAAATTGGGAGGGAGAGCAATACTCCAGAGGACAGGAGCAGGATTCAAAACATCTTCACAGATTAGAGAGATGAATGGCCAAAACTAGCAAAATGAAGTTCAACAGGGACAAATGCAAGAGACTCCACTTAGGCAGGAAAAACGAAATGCAAAGAGACAGAATGGGGGACGATGAGGCCTGGCTCGAGAGCAGGACGTGTGAAAAAGATCTTGGAGTCCTCATGGACAACAAGTTAAACATGAGCCAGGAATGTGATGTGGCGGCAAAAAAGGCCAATGGGATTTTGGCCTGCATCAATAGGAGCCTAGTGTCTAGATCTAGGGAAGTCATGCTCCCCATGCTCTATTCTGCTTTGGTTAGACCACTTTACCTGGAATATTGTGTCCAATTCTGGGCACCACAATTCAAGAGAGATGTTGACAAGCTGGAATGTGTCCAGAGGAGGGTGACTAAAATGATCAAGGGTCTGGAGAACAAGCCCTATAAGGAGCGGCTTAAGGAGCTGGGCATGTTTAGCCTGCAAAAGAGAAGGCTGAGAGGAGACATGATGAGGGCCATGGATAAATATGTGAGAAGTCACAGGGAGGAGGGAGCAAGCTTGTTTTCTGGAGACTAGGATGCGGAACGATGGCTTCAAACTACAAGAGAGGAGATTCCATCTGAACATGAGGAAGAACTTCCTGACTGTGAGAGCTGTTCAGCAGTGGAACTCTCTGCCTCGGAGTGTGGTGGAGGCTCCTTCTTGGGAAGCTCTCTTCCAACTCCATGATTCTATGATTCTATGAAAAGAGGAGTCTTTGGGCAACGTTAACTCCCATGGAGATGTCTGATAGCATCCTGGGATTTGCAGTTTAAGGAGGGATGTTTGTAATTCTCAGTCCTGGATCTTTACAGATTGGGTCTCCCTTATCCAAAATACTTCAGATCAGTGTTTCGGATTTTGGTTTTTGCTTGTTTGTTTGGGTTTACATAGAATCCTGGAGCTGGAAGAGACCTCATGGGCCATCCAGTCCAACCCCATTCTGCCAAGAAGCAGGAATATTGCATTCAAAGCACCCCTGACAGATGGCCATCCAGCCTCTGCTTAAAAGCTTCCAAAGAAGGAGCCTCCACCACACTCCGGGGCAGAGAGTTCTACTGCTGAACGGCTCTCACAGTCCGGAAGTTCTTTTTTATGTTCAGATTGAATCTCCTTTCTTGGCAGTTCAAGTGGTATCAAGCTACATTAATTCTTCAGTGTAGATGCAGGAAAATTGCATTCAAAGCATCCCCAACAGATGGCCATTCAGCCTCTGTTTAAAAGCCTCCAAAGAAGGAGACTCCGCCACACTCCGGGGCAGAGTTCCACTGCTGAAGAGCTCTCACAGTCAGGAAGTTCTTCCTCATGTTCAGGATCTGTATTTGCAAGGAGGCATTTTGGCAATGGGACCTAAACAAAAAAAACCATTCTGGACTCCACCAACGATAGAATTGAACCAAATTTAGCACACAGAACTCCCATGATCAACAGAAAACACTGGAAGGGTCTGGTAGGCATTGACCTTGAGTTTTGGAGTTGTAGTTCACCTACATCCAGAGACCACTGTGGACTCAACCAATGACAGATCTGGACCAAACTTGGCACGGATACTCAATATGCCCAAATGTGAACACAGATGGAGTTTGGGGGAAATAGACCTTGACATTTGGGAGTTGTAATTGCTGGGATTTATAGTTCACCAACAATTGAAGAGCATTCTAAAACCCACCAAGGATAGAATTGGGTCAAATTTCCCACACAGAACCCCCATGACCAACAGAAAATACTGTGTCTTCTGATGGTCTGTGGCGACCCCTCTGACACCCCCAGGGGCCTGACCCTGAGATTGAGAAATGCTCCCATTTATTTATTTATTTATTTATTTATTTATTTATTTATTTATCGAGTCATCAGCAATCAGTCAATTATATTACATTTCTAACAAAACAAGCAAACAAACAGACAAAATACAAAAATATAGAATACAGAATACAAAATTTGTGAGTTTGGTAGTTGATGAAATGTCCTTTGACCAGTATCTGGCCCCTTGGAGTGCCTCTGGTGTTGCCGCAAGAAGGTCCTCCCTGGTGCATGTGGCAGGGCTCAGGTTGCATTGCAGCAGGTGGTCAGTGGTTTGCTCTTCTCCGCACTCGCATGTCGTGGACTCCACTTTGTGGCCCCATTTCTTGAGGTTGGCTCTGCATCTCGTGGTGCCAGAGCGCAGTCTGTTCAGTGCCTTCCAAGTCGCCCAGTCTTCTGTGTGCCCAGGGGGGAGTTTCTCATTTGGTATCAGCCATTGGTTGAGGTTCTGGGTTTGAGCCTGCCACTTTTGGACTCTCGCTTGCTGAGGTGTTCCAGCGAGTGTCTCTGTAGATCTTAGAAAACTATTTCTTGATTTAAGTCGTTGACGTGCTGGCTGATACCCAAACAGGGGATGAGCTGGAGATGTCTCTGCCTTGGTCCTTTTACTATTGGCTGCTACTTCCCGGTGGATGTCAGGTGGTGCAATACCGGCTAAGCAGTGTAATTTCTCCAGTGGTGTAGGGCGCAGACACCCCGTGATAATGCGGCATGTCTCATTAAGAGCCACATCCACTGTTTTAGCGTGGTGAGATGTGTTCCACACTGGGCATGCATACTCAGTAGCAGAGTAGCACAGCGCAAGGGCAGATGTCTTCACTGTATCTGGTTGTGATCCCCAGGTTGTGCCAGTCAGCTTTCGTATGATATTGTTTCTAGCGCCCACTTTTTGCTTGATGTTCAGGCAGTGCTTCTTGTAGGTCAGAGCACGGTCCAGAGTGTCCCAGGTATTTGGGTGCGCTGCAATGCTCCCGTGGGATTCCTTCCCAGGTGATCTTCAGAGCTCTCTGTTCTTGAGATGAAAGGCACATGTCTGTGTTTTAGATGGGTGGATGTCTTCACTGTGTCTGGTTGTGATCCCCAGGTTGTGCCAGCCAGCTTTCGTATAATATTGTTTCTAGCGCCCACGTTTTGTTTGATGTTCAGGCAATGCTTCTTGTAGGTCAGAGCATGGTCCAGAGTGACTCCCAGGTATTTGGTTGCGCTGCAATGCTCCAGTGGGATTCCTTCCCAGGTAATGATCCTCAGAGCTCGGGATGCTTCTCTGTTCTTGAGATGAAAGGCACATGTCTGTGTTTTAGATGGGTTGGGGATCAGGTCTGGTTGTGATCCCCAGGTTGTGCCAGTCAGCTTTTGTATGATATTGTTTTTAGCACCCACGTTTTGTTTGATGTTCAGGCAATGCTTCTTGTAGGTCAGAGCATGGTCCAGAGTGACTCCCAGGTATTTGGGTGCGCTGCAATGCTCCAGTGGGATTCCTTCCCAGGTAATGATCCTCAGAGCTCGGGATGCTTCTCTGTTCTTGAGATGAAAGGCACATGTCTGTGTTTTAGATGGGTTGGGGATCAGCTGGTTTTCCCTGTATGCTGCCATAGTGCCATCACATTCCTTCCTTAAAAAAAAAAACCTGTAGATACTGTTTGACTATGTAAAATCCCGCTAATCCGTCCTTTCGGTGTGTCCTTTCCCAGCTACGTTTCTGCACAGAATGAGGGAATACATGCCACCCGACCATCGGGCCTTCATTGAGGAAATGCAGTCCTTGCCTCCACTGCGGTGCCACGTCGTGTCCTGCGGCTCTGCAGCGCTGCGGTCCGCATACAACGAGTGCGTGGCTGCCCTTTCGGACTTAAGAACACACCACCTCACCGTCGTGGCCAAGTATATTGTCATTGCATCTCACAAAGCCAAGGGGAAATCCTCCGCTCCCGGATCCGTTGGCCCCATGTCTTTCCTGGACGAGACTGGAACGGGTGGCTCAAGAATGCTGAGCTTTTTGAAAAGCACCCGTGATGCCACCCGGGAAGCCATGATAACATCCTAAGAGATTCCAACTGTATTATTGTTATTTTATTATTTGGTCTCTTGGATTAAGCATGGGATTTACAGTATCCAAGCAAGCTGGCCTTCTTAGGGTGCATCCACCCTATGGAGCTGATACAGTTTGGTACCACTTGAACTGCCAGGGCTCGGTGCCAAGGAACCATGGGAGTTGTAGTTTTATAAACTATCTCTGCCAAAAGAGTAGTTTGATTGGACTACAACTTTCAGAATTCTCAGGCCAACAAGGCCACCTTGATATTGCCTTAGAAGGTTTTCTGCTTTCTGTGCCAAAAAGCATTGATGCTGCACCAAACCACAACTCCCAGGATCCATAGTATTGAGCCATGAATTCACCAAACCACAACTCCCAGGACCCATAATATCGAGCCATGAACTCACCAAACCACAACTCCACAGGGACCAATTAATATCAAAAGGCCCTATGGGAAAACTCACCAAACCACAAAACTTTCCAGGGGGGGAACCATAAAATAAATCGGAATAAGCACAGAAACACATACTCACCAAAAAACCACAAACTTCCCAGGAATCCATAGATCGGGAAAGCCATTGGTAAAAAAACCTCCCCACCCAAAAAAATCAACAACTCCCAGGACCCATAGCATCGAGCCATGAACTCACCAAACCACAACTCCCAGGATCCATAGCATCGAGCCATGAACTCACCAAACCACAACTCCCAGGACCCATAGCATCGAGCCATGAACTCACCAAACCACAACTCCCAGGACCCATAGCATCGAGCCATGAACTCACCAAACCACAACTCCCAGGACCCATAATATCGAGCCATGAACTCACCAAACCACAACTCCCAGGACCCATAATATCGAGCCATGAACTCACCAAACCACAACTCCCAGGACCCATAATATCGAGCCATGAACTCACCAAACCACAACTCCCAGGACCCATAATATCGAGCCATGAACTCACCAAACCACAACTTCCAGGACCCATAATATCGAGCCATGAACTCACCAAACCACAACTCCCAGGATCCATAGCATCGAGCCATGAACTCACCAAATCACAACTCCCAGGACCCATAGCATCGAGCCATGAACTCACCAAACCACAACTCCCAGGACCCATAGCATCGAGCCATGAACTCACCAAACCACAACTCCCAGGACCCATAGCATCGAGCCATGAACTCACCAAACCACAACTCCCAGGACCCATAGCATCGAGCCATGAACTCAGCAAACCACAACTCCCAGGATCCATAGCATCGAGCCATGAACTCACCAAACCACAACTCCCAGGACCCATAGCATCGAGCCATGAACTCACCAAACCACAACTCCCAGGACCCATAGCATCGAGCCATGAACTCACCAAACCACAACTCCCAGGACCCATAGCATCGAGCCATGAACTCAGCTAACCACAACTCCCAGGACCCATAGCATCGAGCCATGAACTCAGCTAACCACAACTCCCAGGACCCATAGCATCGAGCCATGAACTCAGCTAACCACAACTCCCAGGACCCATAGCATCGAGCCATGAACTCAGCTAACCACAACTCCCAGGATCCATAGCATCGAGCCATGAACTCACCAAACCACAACTCCCAGGACCCATAGCATCGAGCCATGAACTCACCAAACCACAACTCCCAGGACCCATAGCATCGAGCCATGAACTCACCAAACCACAACTCCCAGGACCCATAGCATCGAGCCATGAACTCACCAAACCACAACTCCCAGGATCCATAGCATTGAGCCATGAACTCAGCAAACCACAACTCCCAAGATCAATAGCATTGAGCCATGAACTCAGCAAACCACAACTCCCAGGATCCATAGCATCGAGCCATGAACTCACCAAACCACAACTCCCAGGATCCATAGCATTGAGCCATGAACTCAGCAAACCACAACTCCCAAGATCCATAGCATCGAGCCATGAACTCACCAAACCACAACTCCCAGGACCCATAGCATCGAGCCATGAACTCACCAAACCACAACTCCCAGGACCCATAGCATCGAGCCATGAACTCAGCAAACCACAACTCCCAGGACCCATAGCATCGAGCCATGAACTCACCAAACCACAACTCCCAGGACCCATAGCATCGAGCCATGAACTCACCAAACCACAACTCCCAGGATCCATAGCATTGAGCCATGAACTCAGCAAACCACAACTCCCAAGATCAATAGCATCGAGCCATGAACTCACCAAACCACAACTCCCAGGACCCATAGCATCGAGCCATGAACTCACCAAACCACAACTCCCAGGACCCATAGCATCGAGCCATGAACTCAGCTAACCACAACTCCCAGGACCCATAGCATCGAGCCATGAACTCAGCTAACCACAACTCCCAGGATCCATAGCATCGAGCCATGAACTCAGCAAACCACAACTCCCAGGATCCATAGCATCGAGCCATGAACTCACCAAACCACAACTCCCAGGACCCATAGCATCGAGCCATGAACTCACCAAACCACAACTCCCAGGACCCATAGCATCGAGCCATGAACTCAGCTAACCACAACTCCCAGGACCCATAGCATCGAGCCATGAACTCAGCTAACCACAACTCCCAGGACCCATAGCATCGAGCCATGAACTCAGCTAACCACAACTCCCAGGACCCATAGCATCGAGCCATGAACTCACCAAACCACAACTCCCAGGACCCATAGCATCGAGCCATGAACTCACCAAACCACAACTCCCAGGACCCATAGCATCGAGCCATGAACTCACCAAACCACAACTCCCAGGACCCATAGCATCGAGCCATGAACTCACCAAACCACAACTCCCAGGACAATAGCATTGAGCCATGAACTCAGCAAACCACAACTCCCAGGATCCATAGCATCGAGCCATGAACTCACCAAACCACAACTCCCAGGACCCATAGCATCGAGCCATGAACTCAGCTAACCACAACTCCCAGGATCCATAGCATCGAGCCATGAACTCAGCAAACCACAACTCCCAAGATCAATAGCATTGAGCCATGAACTCAGCAAACCACAACTCCCAGGACCCATAGCATCGAGCCATGAACTCAGCAAACCACAACTCCCAGGACCCATAGCATCGAGCCATGAACTCAGCTAACCACAACTCCCAGGATCCATAGCATCGAGCCATGAACTCACCAAACCACAACTCCCAGGACCCATAGCATCGAGCCATGAACTCAGCTAACCACAACTCCCAGGACCCATAGCATCGAGCCATGAACTCAGCTAACCACAACTCCCAGGATCCATAGCATTGAGCCATGAACTCAGCAAACCACAACTCCCAAGATCAATAGCATTGAGCCATGAACTCAGCAAACCACAACTCCCAGGACCCATAGCATTGAGCCATGAACTCAGCAAACCACAACTCCCAAGATCATAGCATCGAGCCATGAACTCACCAAACCACAACTCCCAGGACCCATAGCATCGAGCCATGAACTCACCAAACCACAACTCCCAGGACCCATAGCATCGAGCCATGAACTCACCAAACCACAACTCCCAGGACCCATAGCATCGAGCCATGAACTCACCAAACCACAACTCCCAGGACCCATAGCATCGAGCCATGAACTCACCAAACCACAACTCCCAGGACCCATAGCATCGAGCCATGAACTCAGCTAACCACAACTCCCAGGACCCATAGCATCGAGCCATGAACTCAGCTAACCACAACTCCCAGGACCCATAGCATCGAGCCATGAACTCACCAAACCACAACTCCCAGGACCCATAGCATCGAGCCATGAACTCAGCTAACCACAACTCCCAGGACCCATAGCATCGAGCCATGAACTCACCAAACCACAACTCCCAGGATCCATAGCATCGAGCCATGAACTCACCAAACCACAACTCCCAGGACCCATAGCATCGAGCCATGAACTCACCAAACCACAACTCCCAGGACCCATAGCATCGAGCCATGAACTCCTAGAGTTGGAAGAGACCTCATGGGACACCCAGTCCAACCCCATTCTGCCAAGAAGCAGGAATTGCATTCAAAGCACCCCTGACAGATGGCCATCCAGCCTCTGTTTAAAAGCCTCCAAAGAAGGAGCCTCCACCACACTCCGGGGCAGGGAGTTCCACTGCTGAACAGCTCTCACAGTCAGGAAGTTCTTCCTCATGTTCAGATGGAATCTCCTCTCTTGTAGTTTGAAGCCATTGTTGTAACCCTGACCTTGATATCACCAATGATTTATTTGTCGTGTCAGGGCAACCAGTCAATTGTATTACATTTCTAACAGAACAAAACAAACAAACAGACAAAACACAAAATGTGCAAGTTTGGTAGTTGATTAAATGTCCTTTGACCAGTATCTGGCCACTTGGAGTGCTTCTGGTGTTGCTGCAAGAAGGTCCTCCATTGTGCATGTGGCAGGGCTCAGGGTGCATTGCAGCAGGTGGTCAGTGGTTGGCTCTT